TGCCCCTGTGGTGATTAGATAAGGGGGGACCGTGCCCAGCGCAGTGGTGGGCAGGCTGGGTGAAGGCTGGGAGGGCCCTGCCGCGTTGGGGGCACTGAAGGGGGGGACTCGGGCGTCCGGGGACGCACACATACAAACACACCTGCACGTGCACACGCAGAACCCAGGCGTCTGGGGACACGCATGCAAAGACACCTGTACACAAATACACACACACACACACACAACCCAGGCGTCTGGGGCACACGCAAGCACACCTGCATGCAGATGCACAAATAACCCAGGCGTTTGGGAATCCGAGCATAGAGTGAAACTCGGCTTTGATTTCTCCTCCCCCTTCCCCCACAGCTGGGCAGTTTCGGTGCCTGAGTCACCAGGTGATGTCACCCCTCCTGTGATGTCACCGCCCCACCCAGCCTCCACCTCTTGTGTCAGCAGCGCCCCCCAGGACTGCTGGGCCCCCTCCCCGCACCAGCAGGGGTTGGGGGGTGAGCGTGGAGGAGGGCCCGGACGCCTGGGTCTCTCCCTCCCCTGGGCCAGGAGCGGGGGCCTGGTGGGTGGGGGTACGAGCTGGGATGCCCGGGTCCTTTGCCTGCTCTGGGGCTAAAGCCAGGGCGGGTCCTGACCCAGCCACCCCTGGTGGGGGCCGGGGGAGCAGCAGTGACCCCTGGTGGCCGCCTCATGCTCTTGACTCTGCCATGGGGGGGTCATGGGTGCAAGGGAGCTGTGGCTCCCCCCTCACTTATCATGTGTCCCACCCCAGCGCACCCCAACACAGACGGTGCAGGCGCCACAGGCGGCATCATCGGGGGCCTCATCGCGGCAGTCGTGGCTGTGGCAGTCGTGGCCACCGGGGTCCTCATCTGCCGGCAGCAGCAGAAGGACCGGACGGAGCGGGATGACGAGTGAGCGAGGCTGGGGGTGTGTGGGGGGGGGGATGGGATCAGGGCTGTGGGTTAGGGTTAGGGGGTTGGCTTTGGGGGTGCAGAGGATGGGGCCTGGGGAGCCCTTGCTGCAGGGCGGGGGTCAAGGGTCACGGCCCCAAGACTGACCTCTGTCTACCCCCAGCTTGGATGGGCCCCCGGCCTACAAGCCACCCACGACCTGCATGAAGCTGGAGGACGTGGAGCTGGTAGGTGCCTGACCCCGGGGTGGGGGGTGCTGGGGCCCCCCCGGCTCGGGGGCGGTGGGGTGACGGACACTGCAGCCAGACGCCTGGGTTGTTCCCGGCCCAGGGGGGGAGGACGCCCGGGTTCTTGCTCATGACGCCCCTGCCTGCCGCAGGCCCCCCCTGCGCCCGAGCAGCTGAAGACGCCGTACTTCGAGCCCAGCGTTGCTGACAGCCGGGTGAGTCCTGAGGAGGATTGGCGGGGTGGGGGGGACACGACACACACCAATGGGGTCCCAGGTCCCCGGGTCCTAACCCCCCTCCCCCCCGGCTGCAGGCTGCGCCGCGGTACCACGAGCTGCCGACACTGGAGGAGCCGGAGGAGGAGCTGGGGCCCGAGCCCGGCCTGGCCGACGCCTGCCTGGACCAGATCAACCCCATCTACGACGCGCTGGTGCTGGTGGACGACGAGGCCTCGGCCCCCCTGCGCGAGCGCGACCCCCCCTTTTTCATGTCCCGCGCCATGTACGTTTGATGCCCCCCCGCCCCGATCCTGATCCCAGACAATGTGAACGCGCTTCGTGCCGGGGGCCGGGCCTGTGCCTTGTGCAGCTGCTGCTGCTCCCTGCGCTCCTCGCAGCGTGCGGGTCTCAGCGCCCCCTGCGCGGCCGGGGAGGGGGCGGGGTTGCTGTTTCCTGGGTTTTTGGTGCCTTTGGGGCTTCAGGCTCTCGCTGCTGGGTTGGGGCTGACGGGGTCCTGCCCGGGGGGCCGGGGCCCTCGCTGCTGTGGTCGGTGCCCCCCTCCGCGTGCCTTTGCAAACACTACTGGGGGGCCGTCTGCCCCCCGAAGCCATTGCCCTGCTGCTGCCCGGCCCCGCGGGGTGACTCAGGGTCGGGGTCACGGGTCATTTCTGGGCTTTACCTTGTTTTTGTATTTGTTGCGTTTTCTTAAAATAAAGGTTTGCCGGA